AATTTCCTATTGGGAACCTACTAGCACTAAGTTGCTAACTGGTTAGAAAGATGCTTCTGACAAACTGGCCACAATCATACCTGCTTGTAAACCTTTCGCCACAACAACCTGCCCCCTTGATAAACGATCAATCACATTCATTTCATTCACTCATGTAAAGTCGTGGACCACTCAAGAGAATTTGGAAATGCATCTTTTTGATTTGAGATAGTCAGATCGCGCACATACTTTGTTTACATGTAAAAACCTTCCATTCTAATTGAAATCTATTTAGATTTAAACAAAAGTGTTTTAATACAGTGAAAGTTAACCAATTCAACTACAATTGTATGTTTCATGTAGAACAACTAATAATCACCTCAGATTTAATTCATATGGTTTAAAGAAACTATGTGGTTATGGTTGAAAGAAATAAGTAAGCAAGTGACATTTTTTATTAAGCCCTCCTTTACAGAAATAATGTCACAAAGCTCTGTATTAATAAATCAAGATTAGATCAAACAAAGACGGAACAATACAATTGGGGTAAGATAACAAACATATCACAATGAAATCACAGAAAGATAAAACAAGATATAAAAGTAGGTCTGCTCTGTTTACTTTCTTGAAGATGTATGCTTTAACTCCTGTCTCTTACTATGTTTTTTTTTGCATTTAGGTCTACCTCAAAAACCACACAGGAGGGAATGTCGAACAGGATGATCTTTGGGATGTGATGGATGAGGTAAAGACCTTTTGACTTCCAAATTAATCAGTAATTCATTCATGACATCAGATACAAACATCTGGACTCAAAAATATGGAAACATATAATTGACTTGTCTTCATTTCTGCAGGCCTATGGAATTGAGGACTCGGCTAGCCCTTCCGAGGTCATTAAAAACTGGACGACTCAAATCGGCTATCCTGTCCTCACCATCAACACCACTAATGGAGAAAGCTACCAGAAGCATTTCCTGTACAACAGCTCTGCTGTATCCAAGTACGTGCTGCTTGCTGACCCTTTACTAGTAAACTTAGAGTGAAGTCCAAGTCTTGTAATACAGAAACCAAATTAACAGCAGGCATTGAAGCTTATAGTGGATTGTACACAGGTAGGTTTTATATTTTTCTGAAGCCTATTACCTATTTACCTATTAACAATGTGGAATATTTAGAGAGAATGAAAAGTTATGTTGCTTTTTCATCATTACAGGAATACAAAATGAATGGCTTTTTAATTTGATGAAGAATACTTGCTGAAATGCTACGCTGTCGCTTTAAGATGTTTTAAAGCTTGCTTCATATATTAATGTTTAGGATATACGTAGGAGCCCAAATTTACACTTTGTGATTTTTCTTGGTATGCATTATGGTTAATGTTTTGTGTTTTGTTTTACTTGCTAAATTAGCTATTATTCAATTTTTTAAATATTAGTGGTAACTCATTCTAATTTGGGGAATTTGTATATTTAGCTATTGCGGTTATTTTGCTATTATTTTCATTACTTCTTTTGTTTAAGGATGCATACCTGTCACTTTTTAAGGATGATGCATCATGGGAGTTTCGTTTTTGTGGTTCTCACAGAGTGGAGCCAAATGTTTTTTTGACCTCTGTTGCCCTTATTATTTGTATGTATGTTTGGCTACCCTTTATCCTGTCTGCTCACTAAAACATTTAGGATATAGACATTTCAAATTATGCAAAACCACATGCTCTAAGTAAAAAGTAACACTGGACAAGTTAATGGAATTGTTCCTCTACTGGGTGACTTACCACCTGCTCTAAACCAACTTTATTAGATGCAAATGTGTTCTTTTTGCTTTTTCAGTTTTTAAAAGTTACAAGAATTCTAATACACCCTGTTTTACATTAAATGGCGATAGAGATTTTCTTCTGAGCTTTTTTCTGTCTCAGCTTTTGTTGAAAAAAAATTGTCTGCCAAGTTATGATTGCAGAATTTCTTCTGTTTGGTTTAGTTTTTGAAACACAGAAGGGAATTCCCTGCAGGCCGCCATGTTTTTTATCTTTCTGTCAGGCCTTTGTGAAATTTCTGCTGCTGATTACAGCAGAGTATACCTTTGGCCCTAGACAAATGTTTTCTTTCTTGTAGCAGAAAGAAACAGCTTTGGAAATGCACAGAAGATTTCACAAACTGTGACCTGATCTTAAATTGATTTAATCTACATCAGGAACACTCTGGATGTAGCAAGACTCTTGCTTGTGGGACTCAGCACAGGCACCAAACTGTTGAATAGATTCTCCAAATTGTGAAATTTTGCAATTTAACCACATTTTTAATATCCAACTCTTTTCCCCTCTTTAGCCAAACGTGGTACATCCCAATCAGATACAAGAAGAAGATAAGCTCTAACCCCGATTATTACATCCTACTAAATGGCACATCAGGTACAAGAACACAAAACTTAAACTCCTTTCTCACAATCCTCAAAATTTCTCCTTGAAGACAAGGAGAAATTTTGAGTTCAGTTCAGCCCACACTATAGATACCTTCAGAATGATTAGGAAGTCCTACAGTTGCAGTAAATGAAAGATCCACTTAAACCTATATGGCAGAGCCAGGAACTCACCCTCGAGCCAGGCCTGGGGTTGGGGTTCATCGGGTTCCTCCTCACTGCACCCTGGCGGGTTAAGTCCGAAGAAGTGACCCAAGGCTATTGTCCAGTCCACCAAGCACTTGCAAGGGGAACCATGAGGGACCAATGCAAAGAGGATTGGGCTGCAGTCCAAGGTTGCAGGCCTTGGTCACCCACAAAGAATTTATCGGGCTCTGGGGACAGAGAATGTCACCTGCCTGTGGGGGAAGGAGCCTGAGCTTAAGCGGGAGGTGAGGCAGTACTGGCTAGAGATAGTCAGGCTCATCTTAACACATAGCATGGGGCCTGGAACCCAGCTCCTTGACAGAGAATGGAAGTCAGACTGGACCAGTTTCTTTGTCTCTATCGTCAAAGCGGCTGTCTGTAGCTGTGACCAAATGGTATGCAAACCCTGTCATGACCATAACCCTCTAACCTTGTGGTGGACACCAGCAGTAAGTAATGCTGTCAAGCTAAAGAAGGTGTCCTATTGAGTCCGGTTGGCTTGAGGGACTTCTTAGGCAACAAGCAGGCACAGTGAGGCCCAGAGGGGGGAAGCAGTGCTTGGAACACTAATTTCAGTGGATTTGGGCAGCTGCTGACCTTGAATGAGGGCATCGTCCGATGGTTGAAGGAATACTGTAAGCATCTCCTCGAGCTGGCTGAACGCTTCTGGTCTCTTGTGCCTTTTCCTGGTTCCTCTTCATAACAAGGGGGCTAGAGGATAGGTTGCAACTAACAACAAGAAAAAGTATAATGAACCATCTCAACTGTCAAGAGCAAAAGTGGGACGTGGCATACTTGGACAAATTGAGTCTTAAGTTTTACTAAAGTTCAGTAGAAGGAATAAAGTTAGACAGGTAGAATATTAATCAGACAGAAAATACTGCAAGTTGGTTCATCTTAAGATGGCTCAACAAACCACTTAATGGATGAACTCATTGTTTATACACAAAGTAGGGACTTTTCCTTCAAATTTGAATCTGGATTTAAGCAATTAATGAGATATGAATAAAAACACCTACACCTGGAAAACAAAATTCAGAGGCTAAAAATAAAACAGTAAAAAGTGAAAGAGTATGTCTTTTTTTGCATCCCGGAGGGTTTGCAGCAGGCTGGCTGCCATCTTTGAACGTTGCAAAACCTCATTTTCTTATTTTTATTTTGTGTTTTTTTTCTTCCAAATTTTCCCCTTTTATTTTGTTTAAAACTCTTCTATAAATATTTATCTTTGACACAGATAACATGAGTTTCATTACTGAGAAAGGAGAATGGCTCCTGGCTAACATCAACTGTACGGGATACTACAGAGTCAACTACAACCTGGAGAATTGGAAGCTCCTGATGGGTCAACTGGAAACAGAGCCAGATGTGAGTTAGCAACTGAAGCCAATGTTTTCAAGTTTCTGTTCACTGAAATCTGCTATCAGACCAGGAAAAAAAAATGCATGATCATCTTTAAAGGTCATGTGACAAGCTGTGGATTCATTATCAAAGGAATCCATAGATGATAAATAATTACCTGGGCAGAAATTTGATTGGCAAAGAGGATCTGAATTAACTATTATCATCATTTCCAAAAGCAC